AAAAAAAAAAAAAAGGTGAATTATGCACCTTTACAAGCAAGTTGACAGATTTAAGATTGAAATGGACAGTCAGCATAACATATTTTCACCATGATAAGATTTGAGCTCAAATGATTATGTTTAACTATTTGAGTTATCACATACATGAAACCTTTGCATACACATAAATAAGGACGTGCCACGCAAATGATGGGGCAATTACGACATTGAATAACCAGACAAACATATTTCTAGCAGAATATTCAAAGAACACTACGGGAAATGGTTGAACACTCGAGTTTCAAGACAGACATTAAACAAGAACAAGGTTTAGCTAGATGGTATTAAGAAGACCTCGTGCAATATTTACCTGGGCTTCAAGGCAAGAGCTGGGAGAGCAGATACTAAAGATAACTTAAGAAGGTACCTTCAAGAAGAAAGAATAAAAAAAAAAAAAAAAGGCAAGATTCGTGAACATTTAAAACTGAAACAAATTTAATCATATTATGGATAGAAGTAGATTCATCGATATACTTCTTTCAGAATAATAACAAGCTTATGAATAAATGTACAGAACTCCCAATACACAATCTTCTAAAGAGGAGATGCAGATTCAACCGCTTTTCTTAAAATTTACTAGTCCTACAGAACAAAATAGCACCACCGGTCAATGATTATCAACGTATAAACATAAACAATCTTGGTTTGACCCTAAGCACCTTAAAATTAAGAAAAATAAAAAACACAAAAGCCAACAGTACACAGTTTTCAGTGTCCTTACTCTGATTGATGCATCTCTTCAAGAAGCCCAAGTCCCTCTAAACAATATGCGGGAGTTGGTTTTACACCAACTTGTTGCTTAAGTTGTTTTGAAGTCAGCTGGGACGAACCAACTTTCACGAGCTGCTTGCTATCACGAACTGTCTTCTGAATAGAACAGACAACCCCATGAAATTCTTCCCTGTAGTTCAATGATCAGAAAAGTAGAAAGTCATTTTTTTCCTACTACAATGTTAATCAAATTCAGCATTCCACATATCAAATTAACTGGTTTTGTGCAAATGAGCTTAAATGTTGCTTGGACAGGACAAACAATTTATTTGGGAGAAACGAAGTTATCAACAAAATTGAGACATAAGTGCCTTTGCACTTAATAAAACTCACACGGTAAGGAATATTCAAACATTGTGCGGAAAGTTTAAAACACACTTACAGACAAAAGTAACACCCACCACTCTAGCTTTCCAAATTACAAATGCCCCCTCCATTAAGGTTTTACAAAAAGCCCTGGATTGTATTTATCTAACAAATGGTTAATTTGTTAAAGAGAAGCAAATGGTCATTACGTATTTAAATTTTGTAACACAATTGTGATCTCTAAATAACTAAAGAAAGAAAGGACTATAATAATGCACTCAAACTACAACAGAAACAAGCAAAATCTTCCAATTTTGGTTTAAATTACATCATTTCCATGAAGAACATAAGTTCCCTACAGCAAGAAAACATAAAAAGAGTACACACAAAAAAAAAAAAAA